GGCTCTAACCCTGTACATTAATCGAAACGTCGAAAATGAAACCAAAACGGAGGACTCCCGGTGTGCGGTCTGCGGTGAGATGGCCGGCCTGCGGGCCTGGGAGCAGCAGCACTTTTTACTCTTTACACGGACACCCCACCCCACCTTCTCACTGCCCCGGCGCCCACCCTTCGACCTTCTTTGGCAGCAGCTCGAGCTGCTGGTCGCCGTGGCCCAGCTTGCCAGACCCAGAGCCTCCCTCGCCCCTGCTCCAGACGGCGCCGTCGGCGGTGAGGGCGATGTTGTGGTCACCTCCTGCCAACAGCAACACAGCGACGACGCGCGGAGTGGTTCGACTCCACACAAACCCGAGACGGTGATGGGAGGCGTCGTACGATGATCTCAGGCCCAGTGAGGTAGTGCATCTGTCTGACTACCCCGGATCCTGCTGAACAAGCTCCTCTTGTAGCTCGATCGGTCACACCGCCATCGCCGTCGGGGAGAGGGGGGACGACACTGCTTCGGCAGCGTGCACCTCGATCCTATACCGTGTTTGTTATGACCCCCCCCAATGAACACACCAGTGAGGGAGGGCGAGACAATCGAGGGGTCCCGTACCACGCGGAATCGACCCTATCCAGTGCTCAAGTGCTCAAGATAGATGCTACGATTGCCCCCTTCGCCGACACGATGACCTCCGACGTGAAGTGGCCCGCGATGACCGACCCGCTGAGGCTCAGCGATTTGTCGCGGCAGCGCGTGGCGGTGTGCATGGTGGGCGCGGTGCGGACGCTGCTTTCGCCGCTCGTGTACAAGTCTGTGAAGCGGCACCTGCTGGACGCGCAGCTCGTGCCGGCCGACCTCTTCTTGCACCTGCATTTGGGATGGGACCACACGGCGTTCGCACCTGGCATGGGTATGCACGGCGCCAAGGGTGACACCGTCAAACGCGACGATCCGCGCCTGCAGATCGTGCTCCGATATCTGAAGCCGGTGCAGACCGACCTGACCGAGACGAGCGACTGCGCGAGCGAGGAGATGGGACGCACCAAGGTCTGCCAGATGAACATGAAGAAGAGCAATCGTGGCGGCGGCCTCGCCGGCTACCTGCAGTACATGTGGATCAATCGCTGCTTCAACACCGCACGAGCAACCTGACGTACTCCTCGGTGATTCGGACGCGGCCCGACGTGGCCTTCTTTGATCGCGTGCCGTCGCCGGTGACGATGACGCCGAGGCGGATGGTGATGATGATGAAGGAGTCGAACCCCGCGTACTTTGACGGCTTCTTCATGGTTCCGCGCGGGCTGCTCGACGACTTTATTCAGGGCTCCGACGCTTTTTGGACCACGCATGCGCACGGCCTGCCTTGGCCGCCCGAGTGGCATCTCTTCCCGTACTTGCGATCGGCGCGCAAGCTCCCATGGGGCTACGCCCTCGTGCCGGCGGCGCTCGTGCGCAACGCGCCTGGCTACATCAAGAAGAACAGGGTCGAAGCCGATTGCTTTCGCCTTTCGCTCAAGGAGTCGCCCCAATTCGTCTACGAGGCGCAAGGCACCAGCTGGGGACGCGCCGATGGTGGCAAGGGCGCGCTGCTCTCGTTCCGGCAGGCGTGCGAAGCCTTCTTCCAGCAAAACGGCAACACCGCGACCGCGCCGGCGCCGGCTTTGCCTTCGGCACCGTACAGGAGGCAGCCTACTCACAGCGCAGCGACAACGATGAGACGGCCTGTTTACAGCGCAGAGCATCACCCTTTAGGCAGATCGCCCCCAACGTTTGAAGATCGTCTTAGAGCCATGCGCGACGGTTGACATTGATCTCAAAATCATAATTTCTCGGGTCCGTTGGCCTCTTTCGTAGGGAAGAATTTTGATACCCGTCAAGACGCCTGCTGGGGGCAGCTTCGCGATGAAGCCGTCTGCTCCCCCCAGCAAGGCACACACAAGACAGATAGGAGGAGAAAGGGGATGGTGGTGGGTTCGACGAGGCGAGAGAGCGCGCACAGACTGACGTCAGCTACGCTCCTGAAGGACACCTCTGAAAGGCACCTTCGTCTGAGGACGGCGTCTGAAGACGACGGCCTCTGGTCAGATTCGGTCTCGTCGCTAGACTCCGATTTCTCTTTGTCAGGCCATGTGCCGCTCGCTCGTCCGCCCAAGTGACTTGGACGCGCGGTCGAGGGCACCCCACCGTTCCTGGGGCGCGCTGGCGCTCACCGCTGGCGCTCACCAGCGGTCACCCCCCACCCATCCACCCTTTTGTCTTTGAGGCTGTCGCTCCGAGAAAACTTGTCTCGCAGCTGCGAGAAATTACCTTCTCGGGTCCGTTGGCCTCTTTCGTAGGGAAGAATTTTGATACCCGTCAAGACGCCTGCTGGGGGCAGCTTCGCGATGAAGCCGTCTGCTCCCCACTTGTCAACAGCAGGCGCTGGCGCCATCAACGTATCAACGTTCCTCCCACATGATGTTGACAGGGTGGGCGGGTGGTCCATCCATTTGCTCCAAGGTAATCGCAAGCAGACCGCATGGCTTGGCTGCGACGGCGACTGACAGAACTGCGAGAACTGCGACGGCGACTGCCAGGACTGCGATCCGCCTCGGGCATACAGGTAGTGCAGCGGGCACGCGGTCGAACACGCCTTCAGAGCGCGCGCCGAAGCGAGCACCAACACCGCTCGTCGAGCCGCCGTCGATGGCGGTGGCGGCAGCCCCGCCGGCGCCCTCGAGAGTGGCCCAGCCGCACACACACGCGAGCGCTCGCCGCCCCCCCCCCTTAAATATTGGGGGAAAATTAGCCTTCCCCCTCTCG